GTAACTGAATGTATGGATACATGCGCGATGTTTCTTCGAGGAACTCTTACTGATGACAACATTTGTTGGGGTTACGAGCTGGCCATTCTCTATAATCAAAACGATTTGAAACGATTCTGTGAAGTGACGATCGCCATCAATACGAAAGTGGTTTTTTCATCGACCGGTTTTCTGGAGTGCAACGAAGTAGTACTTGGTCACATTTTAAAAATTGACCCATTGTCTTGTTCCGAAGTAGAAGTATTTGAAGGATGTATGGAATGGGTAAAAAGGACTAGTGGAGCGGCCGAACTGACAAGAGAAATCGTTCAAACTCATCTTGGTCATTTATTATATGAAATTCGCTTCAAATCAATGACACCACAACAATTTGCTGCTCTCATTCCATCATATGGCGGTTTATTCTCAGTAGACGAATACAAAGATATCTTTCAATCGACTGCGATGCAAGACTTCGAGCCAAATATATTCAGCCAAAATCTCAGAACACCATTTGAAAGTTTTCAGTGCAATGAAATTGATAAAATTGAATGTAATCGTTTATTGGCATTATACTTTTCATCTAATCCATATTTGATCAAAAGTATCGAAAATACTGTGTTCTCTGTCAATCAACCGATGTTATTAAAGCAAATCGAATGCAGCAAAGTAAAAGAATCTAAGCGGAATTATGAGTACCATGATATTGAGGAACTGCCGACCGAAATAAAAATCGTTCAAATCCATGAATCAGCACCATCCAACAAAGAACTCGTTCTTTATAATGAAAACTCTACCCTGAAATCTGCAGAAGTTACATTCATAACTTTGCCGAAGCCGATTCTCGTAAGACCTGGATTTATGTATGAAATACAGCTTAAACAGACACCACCACGCAACTGCTCCACTGGCAATATTCTAAAGTCAGAAGTTCAAATGGATTCGAATATCATTGTAAAGTTTCATCACGATCACATCGATGAGCGCGATTTTGTCGCAAGAGGAATTATTCGCAAACTTCAATTCTACCGAGCTTAGAAAATTATCCATTAAAAACAATCAACGAGTTTTCTTCATTCAAATTCAAAGTCATTTCACTTTGATTTTAATTGTTGGAATAAACTCATCCAAACCATATATTTTTTGGGAAAAATACATTATACGTCTTCTTTTCTCATCAATCTGCCATTTTGCATAGGTTAAAAGACCAGTCTCAAGAAATTCGGCTGGGTACTCTTAATGGTTTCAATTAAGTGTATGAAACTCTCACTACTTCTATAAATTATAGACTATAATCAATAGCAAACGTACAAATAAGTTTGACAGTTCAAATCAATTCTAATCAATTCATTAGACAACAGATACTTATTTCTAATTTAAATTGAACATTCGTTAAAAGTTTCAAATTCATTTTATTTGTGAAGAACACACAATTTTTTTTTGTAAATTTTTTTACTTATTTTTTTTCAATTCCGTCACTTTGGTTGTGCACAATGACAAATTATTATTAACTTTATCTTGAAAAAAATGTTTTTCTTCATGAAATTTGAAAATGAATTGTGCCAAATTGGCAACGAAATATTGTAAAATTCAAACTTTAACTTTTTGTCCTTAAAAATTTGTCGAAAATTTTAAACGAATCTCAACGAATTTGAATTGAATAACTTTGAATCTGAAGTTTCATTGTCAAATCAGCGATCGAATGTCAAATGGTTATTGAGTGTCAAATGTGTCAATTGACAATCTGATATCATATTTTTTGTGCTTTTGTGTTCGCTGTAGTAATTGGAAGTGTTCGCAAACCACAAAGTGGTGAAATTCAAATTTAAAGTGGTATTTGTCGAGAAAAGTCGACATAACTTCGAAAAAATTCACAAAAACAATAAATTTTAATTTATATTTTTATATTAATTTTTCCAACAAAAAAAAATCGCCTCAAAATGAATGTTTTGAATTTCCTGAACTGCAATTCACTGGAGCAACTAAAATCGAATTATCCATTGAGAGTGAAGCAATATCCAAAAGAAGGTTTAATAGTTTTAAACTACTTGAATAGTTCAAAAGCGTCTAAAATTTCAAATGAGTGTCGTGGTTTGATTCTGTCCACGGATTACAAAGTGATTTCGCGTTCGTTTGACCGATTTTTCAACTACAATGAAAAAAGCACATTAACACCAAAGGGCCAATGTCATGCAATTGAAAAAATCGATGGAAGTATAATTAAAATCTATCATTTCAACGGTAATTGGCACGTATCAACGCGTGGAACTGCCTTCGCTGAATGCACCATCCCCAGAGTAAAAACAACATACAAACAGGCTGTATTTGAAGCATTGGGGCTCATTATTTCTGATGACGATATTAACGAACAGGCCGAACATAAATTTCAACAATTTTGCCAAGATTGCGGCATGAATATTGGGCACTCATACATTTTGGAATTGACTGGCAAAAGTAATCGAATTGTAACAGAATACAATCCAAATAAATACGAACTGTGGTTACTCGGAATTCGATGCAACGATCCAATTGGAAAATATATCGACGTAAGTTCTGTGAAACTGTCTGATGCAATCCGGCGACCCACTTACAATGTTTTTGAAAACATTGAGGAGTGCATTGAACGCTCAAAGAATTTAACGGATTTTAAAGAAGGCTTTGTGGTATACGATCAAACTACGTTTGAACCAATTTTGAAAGTAAAATCACCAAAGTATGTTCAAGCACATAACATAGGTAGCATGGGTGAAAATCCAATTAAAAATTATTACAAAATGATACTTAACGGCGAGTCGACCGAATTTTTGGCATACTTTCCACATTTTAAGAAGGAATTTGATGAGCTTGACAAAAGCCTCAAGAAATACTTTGATACAGCACAAATGGAATACGAGAAACTATGCAAAACTATGCAGTCAGACACCGATTTTAAAGTTTTTGATGTTAAACCATGGAAACAATTTGCAATTAAAGCATTTAAAAATAAACAGCATTTATACAAAACATTTCTAGACTCGCGAGAATGTGATCAGTTGAAATTTATAACACAACATATTGTAGATAAATCAAAATGTTCGATGATTTTGGAATAAATTCACAAAAAGAAGTTATTCTTTGATATTTTAATAAAAGACAACACTGTCGTCCAAAAATTTGGGCTCATGACTGGTATGGGCTCATGAATTGGTAAAGTTTCAATTTGAAAATGGTAAGAGAAAAAGAAATAATAAGAGTAATGGCTTCAGTTTGAATATTAGTAAGTGTATTTCAGATACTTTTGAAGAAAGCAGAAGTGGCCCAAATTTTTGTCAATTTTTTTCAAGTGAAAATCTGCTACAATATTTTTTTGGAAATTTATTTTTAAGGACTCCAAAAACGATAGTTCATATGATATTCATGCAGTGTACCCCAACTTTTGGTCGGCAGTGTAAGTAATACATGTAAACAAATCATTTTTGTTTTAATCTCTTTCTCACTGTCACTGTGTGTACAGTATACACTTCTTCTTATATGAATGATATCATAAAGTCGGGAATAACTGTCAAAAGAATTCACGATCATTCGACTTTTGACGTTACAAACACACTGTTGATTTCCATTGTCTAATATGCAATTGAAATGTAAAATTCTTCTTCTCCTGAATTCTGCTGAAGCTCTTTTGCGAACTTTTTTTGCTTAATGTGATGAAATTCAATTTTTTAGGTGTATTTTTAAAAAAATTATAATTTTTCAAGTGAATTTGAAATCTAATTTACGTTTTGAATAATAATAAGAATAATAATTCTTCGCAATTCATTTGACTGTTGTCTATTCAAACTACATACTGTCAACATACGTTGACTGTCTGATAAGCACTTGAAATGTCAAAAATTGTGCTGATCAAATGAAATTTGAAACTCTTTTTTTGAAAATGTGATGAAGTTCAATTTAGCTGATTGTATTTGTGAATTTTGTATTTTTGAAATTGAATTTATGTTTAATAACATAATAATCTTCACCTTTGATTCGACAAAACGAAGAAACTTATGAAAAACGAAAGAAAAATCAAATCAGGAAGATAATATTACAAGAAGAGACACGAAGCAAAACAAGTACATTTTAAGCAGTGAACTTTTATTTACTTTTCAA